GGGGGCAAAGGAGGCGAAAATGGGGAACATCTGTAATAATGTCAGTGATAGAAAAAGGCCTACAAACCACACGCCCGATGATACCGTGTACTGACAGCTTGAAGTATCACAGCATCACCTCAGTGACTCATAGCCCAGAATCTTTAATATCTTTGCGCCCTGCTCAGAGGCAAAGTTCAGACATATCCTTGCCCCTGGTGTGGAGGGACTAGTCCGTCACTTCTGCCTTGTACTATGCAATCCCGACATCTGGGGGACCTGGTGGGGAGAGCAGCTTTTGGGCGCGTGTCTCCCCGCTCTCTGCTCCCTTGATCGCCACGGCTGTTTGAAGCCAGATATGACTTCATGCCTCAGGGACTCTCCCAAATTTTTCAGTGTTCCACCAACCTTTAGTTCTACGTGTCTACTCATGCATTTTCTTTTCTTCAACACCAAGGGAGAAATGAACAGCTTTGCTCTTTGACTAATTTGCCAAGGTTTATCAATTTCTGCCCTCTCTTTGCACTCCCTAGTTGGAAGGAATAAATAGCATGGTGGGTGGTAAAGATCCAAACATCATAATGGTTAGGAACTTTAGTCCTAAGGAGGAAATAGTAGATGAGAGCATTCCCAATCAGAAAGAGAAAAATAAGTGACTGAATTAGGATATTACTATTTGGTAACACAACGATTTAAGGGTTAAGGCATTGAGCATCTCCAGCTGCGGATGTTACAAAAAAAAGACTCAAACACGTGTCTTCTGATGAAAGACACCACAGTGCCTCCTGCCAAAGGGATGAAACCCGACCAGGCCTCTGCATCTGTATTCAGACATTAGTGCTCAGGAAATAGGGGGACAGTGGAAAGTGTTTAAACTTCACAGAGCCTGCAAGCAGCAAACTCCGGCACACTCTACAGGCCCACTCCCTGGGCTCTTCGATAGTTAAGCTATAAGGAAAAATAAAGGCACAGAGGGGGAACCTAGATATTATAAGGGACTTAAAAGACAGACAAGTTTTTTAAAAAATGGCAAGTCTAAACTGTAATAACTAGGGGTGGTGCACTCTTAGGTAATAAAACTATAAAGAAGAGCAAGGACGCGGTGCCTCTGAAACTCAGTAGTTACTTTGAGGGGAGAGGAGCTTGATATTAGACAGGGTATATGAAGAGCATGCCTGGCAAAGTTCAATTTTTTGACCTGGGTGAAAATTACAAGGGTGTTGACTTTATAATAACTCATCAAACTATTAACAATAGTGACATACATATGCTGAGTCACTTAGTTGGACACCCGCAACTACTATAATATGCCCATTATATCTCAATTAACAAATAATGATAAAGAGAGACTTCGAGTGTGAGGCAAGGATAAATCTTGGAATATTATAGATGCCAATGGGTGTTGAAAAGTGACATTGGCTCAAGTAAATGACCATCATTTAATACATGATTTCCAGTAGCTTCAGAGTATTGCATCATGGCAAGGAGGTAACAGCGTTTAGTTAACAACCCCGCCTTTGGGTTAAGGTAAATAAATCTTGTTTCAGACTTTGAAAGGTGGGATATCACTGAGACTCCAACAGTGTCATTGTTTTTTCAACAGATAGTCATTAAATCCCACTTAGGTTCAGGATACTGTGTCGGGCACTGCATCCAACTCCCCCTGGAAAGAGTCCTGTGGCACATGAACATCTTCACATGTTTGTGACACGATTGCCCTCTAGTGGCCGTTGTAACCCAGGCCAGGGAGTGAGTCTAACGCAATAAAAAAGCTTATTGGTATCATCAATCACAGAATTTAAGGTTGACAGATATCATGAGAGTTTCCCTTACTCAACGCTCTGTGAAGAATGAATTATGAAGGAATTAAACAAGATTCTATTAATCTTACCACATTTAATAAAGATCTTCAGAATAATAAATGATCATAACTTAATCCATTCATCCCCCTTGGTTTTGAAACACTTAAAGGTTATATCTTATCCCAAATAAAAAGCGACTAGTTCTCCACACATCAAGAGAGAAAAATTACCCATATGATATATCTATTAATCAACTAAATGAAATACACTACTAGAAAGTTTAAACTTGATCGGGCAGTAGAGGAAGAGAGAGAAAGGAAAGGCCTATGCAAGGGAAATGAGACTGCGTCAGAAATCTATGTGAATGATGCCATTTTTGTGAAATTGCATTTTTAAAATTAGGAAAAGTATAGAGTTGAGCTATATCTACTGACTCAGAAATGGTCATGATAAATAATTAAGAAGAAAAAAACAAACTTGCCCACAGAGTGTGCGTTGGCAAAACAGACACCCCCTCCGTCCGTGTGTGGGGAGGCCTGTGTGCGTGCAGACGAGCAGCGAGCACACGGATTCCCGCTCAGCTCATGGTGTGCGGGAGGGAGAGAACGGGGCGTGGGGAGGTGATGAACTTTTACTTTATGCATCTTTGTATTGTTTTGATTGTTAAGAGGAACATTCATTTTTAAAACAATCTGCAATAAAAGTATGCAAATGTTCACCCTCTCTCATAATCAAAGAAATGATAAACCAACGCCATACCCTGCCTGTGCCTTCTTTTTCCCTCTTTTCAATGACAGCTTACGCTCCATAGTGTTTTATGTTAGCTTCCGGCCCACAGCACAGTGGTTAGACAGTCATCCACTTTACCAAGGGTCCCCCTGATATTTCCAGTACCCACCTGGCACCACACATAGTTACGACAGTGTTGCTGACTGTATTTCCTAGGCTGTGCCACCCTCTCTGTTTCTTTCTCTTCTTTCCACCCTGTACTCACCCTCGAGATTGTGCCAACTTTGCAATGTCACGTCTTCCCCGGTAAACTGAGAGTCTGTTACCCTTTGTCCATAATGATTTCCGTCTGGCCAATGCCAGGCTTCTTATCAACATAATCTCTCTGAAGCCCTTAGATTCTTGAAGACACTGGAGCTGTGTTAATATTTCACCCCAGTTCTGATTGTCAATCTATTTGCGTGCATACGACTTCCTAGTAAAATAATTATAATAATTACTGTTACTAAGACATGGAGCCTTTGGTCTGCTTGGGCTGATTCTAGGAAGACACTTACTTGACTACCCTCTCCTCTCCGGCACGTCTGCTGTGGACAGAGAGGGACCAGGGGGCCTTTGTACGGCATCCCCTAAACTGGCCCAGACCCCTGGAAAGCTTCCTGAACCACCCTTGCTCCACCTTGTCCCTCTGAGCTCCTTGCCACTGTCCCGGCCTGTCCACGTTCTGCTACAGCAGCTGGCATGTGTGTCTTCCCGTGAATGTCGTGGAGTGCCTTAATGGAAGGCACTATATTTTTTATTATTTTTACATAGTATGTGCTTAAGATAGTTCCTGACGCTTTTTCTTCCCCCCTTTCCTTCCTTCCTTCTGCCACTGTCCTTGGTGCTGACCTTGAGATGAACAAGTGTAGTCTCATTCCTCAAAAACCTTCCATTTGGGTGGGGGTGGGGGGCAAGTGAGTAAAGAATACAGCAGAGAACAGTGAGTGTATGGCAGGAACATGCCTAAGATGCCACAGCGCTAAGCGGGAACTCAGACTGGGGGTGGGAAGCCTTCCTGGAAGAGGTGTTTATGACAGGTCCTGCAGACGGAGGAGGGGTTAGCTCCATGGGGAGGATAGGAAAGGTTAGTCCAGGCAGCGAGCATTCTATTTACCTGGCAGCTAGGACCATGACTGCATTTGAGGGGTAATTACAAGTATGCCAAGAAAAGAGGGGTAAAGAGGAGCTAACCGGGCTCACAAAAGCATGCAATTCTTAAAATATCCAGCATTGCCAAGGAAATACTGCTAATGGGATAGTCATAGGCAATGAGGCTGGAAAGTTAGGGTGTGGCTGGAATATGGAATAGCGTTGGATGCCAGCCTAATGGGTAAGGATTTTATCTCATTGGCAGTGGGTAGCTAACAGATCTTTGGCTGCTCTGCCCCTGAAATATTATAGCCTTCTGTTTAAATCCATTGATCAACAATGAAATGTAGAAAAATCACTTAATTGCCTACTTAGCCAAATTGATTGTTTTTTAATGGCTGTGATGATGATAAGGAATATACTAGGTTAGAAGTAATGAATAAATCAGAAGAAAACATTGAAGTGAGGGAAAGGATCATGAAAGAGCCGCTTTCGGATAAGTCTGGCCAAAGGGAACCATGAGAGACTTTCTAAGTCACGCGTGCTGGGCACTGAGCTGGCAGCCACGGGTACGGAAATGAGGAGTGAATCTTGGTTCGGCACTTCACTAATCAATTGCTTATCTTTTGATAGCAATGTTATATACTGCTTGCATTCTAGTCTTAGCTACCTTAAAGAGAATGCAGACTTTAATTTCATAAGTTTTTAAGAAATTGTTTCATATGCAAAATTAATATACGTATGTGTCTGTGTATGTGTTTCCTCGGTAGGTCAATGTGAACCGATTACGTTGGAACTCTGCATGAATTTGCCCTACAACCATACAAATTATCCAAATTACCTTGGCCACAGGACTCAGAAGGAAGCATCCTTCAGCTGGGAGTCCTCTCTTTTCCCTGCCCTTGTTCAAACCAACTGTTACAAATATCTCATGTTCTTTGCCTGCACCATCTTGGTACCGAAGTGTGATGTGAATACAAACCAGCGTATCCCCCCTTGCAGGTAATACAGGGGGTCCCTCCTAAACATCCTCATTTTCCCTCGGGGAGAACCAAGGGAAGGAGGACTTGTCTCAGTTCAGACAGAGCGGTATCTTGCTAAGGAGCTCGGTGTGTAACAAGTAACACATCCCAGAGGTGGCGGAGGAATGCTAGAATGAACAATTGAGTGACAAATCATTCCTGGAGTACCAGACGAGGGAGGTATGAACTGCCTTTCACAATAGTTTCTGTACTTTAATCAAATAAAATCACATGTGTCATCTTAGTGGATCAAGAAGCGTTTTTAAGGGTGTGAGTTAGCAGAAGGCCGGGCCCACCTATCCGCCTCTTCCTCTGGCGGCATTGATGTCCAAGTGCTGCCTTCTCACAGCACTCAGAGGCTAGCTATGTGACACGACGGGTGGCCTGAAGGAGACACACCGCCAGCTTCACTGGCTGGTCGGGATGCGCATCCCTGACGATTTTTCTACCTGCTTGAATGCGATAAGGGACAACATTTTCAAGAATGCAGCTCGCACTTAGGATGTGAGTGATATCCGATGGGTTAAGAGCACTGCTGTGGAGTCCACTGCCTGATGCAAGTCCTGGCTCTTCTCTACTTGGTGTACAGCCTGAAGCGGTTGCCTCAGTTTCTCCCAGCCTCGGTTCCCATACCTGTAAAATCAGGAGAGTCATAGCTGTTGTGAGAGTAAATGAATGTGCATAAGTGGAAAGTGCTCCCTATTGATTGTAAGCCCAGAACAAGCCACAGGCCTGACGGCCGAGCAGGAACTCAGCTGCTCAGCGGCGGGTCCGTGCTCCGTGCCACGCGGGGGCTGCAGTCAGGAAGGCGCGTGCACGAGGCGGAGCGGGTGGCCGCTCTCCCCAGCGCTGTTTTCCGTCAAGGGGCGAGGCTGCAGATGTGCTTGTCTACTTGTGAGTGGTAACTATGGAAACCATATGTTGGGATCAGAAGTCACTTAGAGGTTTAAGAAAAAGCAATAATATCAATATGGTGGACAGATGGGAAAACAATAAATTGTATACTGAATATCAAGTGGATGACAAGGAAGGGGCACCTATAGAGTGGGGCAGGAAACAATAAAATTTCAAAATGACTTGGGGCACTGAATAATATATACAAATAGAGTAAAACTTAATGTTGGTTTGTGCAAATATAATTCTGAAGATTTCTGTTAAGTTTTTTTTTTAAGTATCACTAATAAAATACCTACCAATTTTTTGTTACATATTTCTAAATTTTATTTCCCTTTTCCTAGACAAGGTCGATGATAATGAATAATTGCTTTTAAAAGTACTTAACACATTCTTGTACTTGACTTTCTTTTCATATGTATATAAAAATTTCCCCAATGCAGTATTTTCTGGAACAAATTTACATTCACATATAATTTATAATTTCAGGCTTAAATTTCATCTCAAAAATGCCTAAGATGAGACTGATCCTGAAACATTTTGCAGTCCACATTTTGGTGAACTTCTCTTAGATATTTTAGTTCTGTTTCTTAGGTTTACACATACACATACACCTTTCATTTTCAGTGGATATGAAAATGAATTTTACAATTTGATATTTATTTAGAGGAAAAACAAAAATAATTTACTAATAATATTCATGAAGCAGTACATAGTTGCTTTTGTCAAGCCCGTTTACTTAACATTAGTTTTTAAGTTATGAGTCAGAAAAATCTAACATTTTCAAGCCCTTACTTTGTGCTAAACACTTTAAGGTACTTCTGCTATCTCATCCTCAAAATCACCTTTTGAGGGAGACCCCTACTATCAGGGCTGCTGTCTGTGGCTGAGCACCACAGAGCTAATGGTAAGGACACTGCCCCTTGCAGCTAGCATGCTGCGTGTCGTAGTATTTCCACTTTACAGAAAAAATAGGAAATGGTAGAGTCAGGCACTACACAGTCTTCCATATAAATTAGGCATTCTGTGAGTAATTTAAAATAGCAGCAGTTGAGTTATATACACTTTTTATAAATCTGCAACAAACTGTTCAATCCAACAGAAAGTTATCAAACAGTAATTGAACTTCCCATTTTTGCAAAACAGATTTGGGGACGCCTTGGCTTTGCCTTCTCCCCACATTCCTCGGCTAAACCAGCCTCGAGTTATGCTCTGTCTCGTCCTGACTTAAATCAGACAGAACTTTCTCTGAAACTTCCTGATTCGATGGCTAATCATCCCCCACCTTGTTGAAATTAACTTACAGTTTAAAGGTTGAGACTTTGACAAATAAGAATGTATTTAAAAAGAAATAAGAAATTTGCCTCGGAACTTACTTCAGATGTGTCTACTTTTTTAAAAGAAAATTTAATTAATTTCTGGTGATGTATTGAGGCAAACCATGTTTTCTCCCCTCATAGGAAGTAAAGATCCCTTTCATGAGACATGTTGATACCTCAGTTGAAAAATATTCTGGGTACAAATGAGAACACAAATGAGAGCACTTAGTACAATGCTGAATATGTCTTTTCTTTAAAAAAAAACCACCGCAACACACTTTGTTTTAACCAGCTTGAGCTCAGCATAGGTGGGTTTGGGAGAAGCAGCTGGTTTTGCAACAGTGTTGGTCTAAGTTGGAGGAATGGAGGCACCGAATCCCCAGGTGAGCCAGGCAGGCCTTGAGGCGGCCGCACGGCTGCTCGCGGGGGCGGCCTCCGAGCGAGGGTGCATCGTCCGCGACCGGCGGCAGGCTCTCCAAACCGATATGGGGGCTTCCCAGCTTGGAACGAAAATGCTGGAGAACGTGTCTGTCTTAAAAAATAAAGAGAGGAGAGGAAATGAGAAAGGCAAAGTGAAGAAGGGAATGTGTGTCCTGGATGCTGTTCCAGGTACAGACTTGCGACTAGTAGACAAATAGGTCCTAGAGACCCAACGCACAGGCTAGTGATCGCAGACAGCCGTCCCGTGTCGCGGTCATCACACCAACAGAGCTCAACTGAGGGACTGGGGAGGGGGAGGGGCAGGGCAGAACGGCTCATGGGGGAGAAAAGGGGCATCTGTAATATTTTAAACAAAAATAAAATTAAAAAGTTAAAAAATAAATTTAAAAAAATAAAAGTTTCTGAAACTTAAAAAAGAAAAGAAATGGTAATTATGTGACATGGTAGGTGTGCTAACTATAGCCACAACGGCGATTTTATTACAGTATATAAACATATCAAATCAAGAGGTTTTTCTTGTTAAATTTACACAATGTTATATGTCAAAAATATATCTATAAAACACATAACAAAACAAATCTCTATTTCTGTTTCTGCAGTGACATTTCTTTTGATGAAAGTATGTTGCTGGAATGTATTCCCTTTGTAGAGAGATTACTCATTTTGGTTTCCCTAGTACCTGTTATGTGTATGTGCATCTATATACAAGGTGGCAAAAAGTAGGTTTACAGTTGTTCAAATGGAAAATAATACAATAATTAATAAATAATAATACAAGAATAAACTCTGTTTCGCATACAACTGTAAACCTACTTTTGTCCACCCATGTATACACACACACACCCCAAGGACACATACCACACAGACGCAGACACCCACACAGTATTAAAACCCTACGTAGATTCCTAACATACATTTCAGATGTAGTTATTTCTGCTTCTAATGTTTTGTGTTTCTTGCTCTTTCAGAGCACTGTGTAAACACTCCAAAGAACGCTGTGAATCTGTTCTTGATATCGTGGGCCTACACTGGCCTGAAGACACAGATTGCAACCGGTTTCCAGAGGAAAATTCAGACAATCAAACCTGCCTAATGCCTGATGAAGACGTGGAAGGTTAATTTTTAAATTAATTTCAGCGGGATGTCTAATATGGATGAATATATTAGCTACTGTTTTGAAGTCTCTCTGCTGCTATTGTTTTTTCTATTTAGTTGCCAATCAGACTGCATAGGTGAGTGAATCTACAAACTTGATTGCTTTGAAGAATTTGGTACTCACCTGTTAGACATAGGCTTCATTTTAAAAATAAGTTGCAGAGCCAAGCTGGTGTTGCTCAGTGGTTGAGCGTTGATCCATGAACCTGGAGGTCATGGTTCAATTCTGAGTCAGGGCACATGCCTAGGTTGGGGCTCGATCCCCAGTTGAGGGCATGCAGGAGGCAACCAATCGATGATTCTCATCATTGATGTTTCTATCTCTCTCTTCCTCTCCCATCCTCTCTCTGAAATCAATAAATACATTTTTTTTAAATTGCAGAGATGAATTTAATAATCCAAGTATTTATTTTAACAATGTTTAACTCACAGAGCCCATCATATATGGATACTGCTCTTACGTTAGGGATTCTGAAGGTAATGGTTAGGCCTTGGTTCCTTCAAGTGCAAAGCATTAGGAGATCTTGGCAATATAGGATCTTCAGGTAGAGAAATGGAATTGGGGACCCATCCACCAGGTGGAAGGATTAGAGTGGGAAACAACTGTGACATGTTAATGGCAGCTGGGTAGTTAGAAGCATTGATTCCACAGGACATTTTTGGCCCTGGCAAACGTTAGGATGTCCATTCAAGAAGATAGTTAATTACTGGAAAGTGTAAAGACATTGAACAGCTGATCTGGAGAAGGGATGCCATGGATGCAGGAGGAAGATGCTAGTAAGCAGACAGAAGAAAGCCACGTTAACTTTGGCTGTTTCAACTTTGCAGAGGACCAGCCTTATCTTTAGTAATAGCCTTTTGATAACATTCCACACATAAATAGGTAAATGAGCTGATGGATCTGTGTTTTCTCTTTATTGACGGTAATATATCTCATTGTTTTTAAACAGAATGCTCACCTAGTCACTTCAAGTGTGGCTCAGGACGGTGTGTTATGGCCTCCAGAAGATGTGATGGCAAGTCCGACTGTGACGATGACAGTGATGAAGAAAACTGTGGTATGTATGTGAGATGGCACTTTCCTTGAATACACTAATAACTGGTTAGGATAATGTCCACTGTTCACTGATCATTTTAAGTAGTGACTAAGATTGAGTGCTAATATATTTTCTTCTTAAATTATCAAATGGCAAGGCATGAATTGATGTGTTTTTCCTGTTAACTCTTGATTTTCCCTAAGTTACACTTCTGTTTATAACCTTGATGATATTTGTGCAAACCCTTAGTAGAAGGAGAAGCACTTCCCTAAAGTAAGGAATTATTTTTGTTATTAGAGATTATAAAGCAGTTGTCATCCGTCTTTGCGTATGATTCCCGTTGTTGGGTAGGCATCTAGATACACAGAAACAGAGCGCAAGCTCCCATGTTCTCATTTAATGGGGATTTACTGGGGATTTATTTTCATGGCCTCTCTGATTTTGTGTCTGTTGGCAAAGAATAAACTCTTCCTGGCATTTCTGCCATTGAGCTCCAAAATCACTTGTGGAAAGGCCAGAAATGCCAATAGTAATTTAAGTGGAGCTAATTCCCATTTTATTTCTCTGTAAACCTTTGTACTTGTAACCTCAGAATGTCAGGGAACAAAAAACGGACAATGCTTTTTACTAAACAGTATTCTGGAGAAAAGCAAAACAATTGAAGGGCTGTCCAAAGACTAGTTTGGTTATGATTACTTAGCTTATTCTGCTTTAAAAAAAAAATTGACACCTGTTTTACCATTAAAAGCTCATAAGGCAATATATCTTTTAAAATCATTTTATTCTTTTGGCCTTTTAGGTGTAAATACTACCTTGTTCCCCCAAATGAATCTTCCATAGTAAACATTGGCCTTCTGGTCTAGACAAAATGTTGCAATCAATCAACTGAAATCCTATCAGCTGCTATAAATATGGATAAGTGAATCCTCTAGAAAATTAGAGCTGTCAGAACATGATACAATCACCAGGGGTAATTTTGTTAGGGAGGAACATACAGTGTTTTGAAAAGCTACTGTTGTTTGCTTGTTTGTGGTCTTTCTGCAGAAAAATAAATAAAAACTCATTGAATATGCCTAATATGAGTGATTCATTGAGAATCCATTGGATTTGTTTGCTAAACTATGACTTTGATGGGTGATGGTATGCTAAGATGCAATTTTAAACAGATTATTTTAGGTGATTCAAAGTGGTTACATGGTATCTACTGGGGTAGCTAGACCTAAATTTGCAGTAGGGTACTAAATATTTGAGAAATGTAAAAGTTTAATTTAAAAAGATAGTCTTACCAAGACTTAAAAATCTGAGGTCTAGAATATATTCTGCAAAAAAAGAAATTCAAAGCACTATAGGGTTTAAATCACCCTAAAATATCAGGTTTCTAAGTAAATAATGCGTTTTCATCAACACTTTAATCACACAATCAAAATGATAGAAGAAATTGTCTAATCCCTAGCAAACTCTCGAAATATCAATGGTACTACTGAGAATGCTAGTTAAGGAAAGTTAAAAGAAGGTGG